ATCTATCTATCTATCTATCTATCTATCTATCTATCTATCTATCTATCTATCATCTATCTATATTTTAGGGTCCTATTGGCCCCCCAGGTGCTCCAGGTGAAGTTGGTGACCCAGGACCCATGGTAAGGTCAATTATTCAGATACTACCTGGTGGTGGGGAAATAATGTAACAGAGATTTATAAGTTGTGGTACGTCACAATTTTTTCAGAAGTTATGTTGATCAGTCTGGGAAACAAATTTCTTATCAAAATAGCTGTATACAATTTTGATGGCTTAATTTTAGGTTGTATTTTTTTTTTGCATTAAGCATTTTAAAATGTCATTAAACTTCTTAATGTAACTGTAAATGTGCATCTTTTCCCTACTAGGGCTCACCTGGTGTTCGTGGCCCAGAAGGTCCTCCAGGAAAGCCTGGTGAAGATGTAAGTTTTGAAAAAAAAGTTCCCAACAGTAATGCTGCTAGGCACGTTACATAATAATCATCAGGAAACATTCTTAAAATCAGAAGATTATTTAGCAGAGCAAGGAAACTTATGTCAAGGCAACTGTCACCCATAAAACATTTTTTTTAAATAAAATAAGATTCTGTTCCATTTGTTGAAAGGATCTTAAACACTAGCAAAAGAAACTTCTTTGGTGAGGAAATTCTAGAGAGGGGCAGTCACCTGTTTTTCACTTCTCTGTTTTAATAATAAAGGAAGCATTTATGTTAAAAAAAAATCCCCTTCCTTCACTTGTCTTGCACTCCCTTCCCTCATTATTGTAAGTCCCCTCAGGGAAAAGGGCGGCCTGTAAGTGTTCAATAAACTAAACTAAACTAAACTAAACTTGCTAACTTCCATGTATGTTGAGATTCAACTTCTATGGGCTCAAAATTATGGGAATTTGTTCCTAAGATGTCCAGAGGATATTAGGTTGAGGAAAGGCAGCATAGTCAACCATATAATAATGTGATGCAACTAAATTTTGATCTAGTTTCAGTACTAAATTGAACATTTTCAATACTAAATATTCCCTCCCTAAATGGGGAGGAAATTATTTTTATTTTATTTTACACTGATCACTGACGTTAATGGCTAAATAATACTGCAGCCATTTTCACATATATGCAACGGTCCATTAAAATATGGAATATTGACTTATCCTTAGTTGCATGAATACAGTGGGCTTGATCCAACATAGATTTTGTATTAGTAAAAAGTGTATCTGCTCCTGCATGATAAGGTGCCTGATTTTGAGCCATTTCTCACAATCCATTGTAACTCAACTTTGAAAACTATTATGCTTTGGTATAATGTGATATGTGCCACTATTATAGATAGTGGGTTTTCAGTAAAATAAAATTGTGCTTTATGACAGTGGAAGTCATTCCTGGGGGTGCAAAGTCTCTTTTGTATAACACTGAATGTCGACATTTAGTTCCTGTTATGCTATGCACAGTATATATCTTATACAGTACTACGAAGCTTAATCTGCTGTTAGTTTTTACTACAACCAACCATTTCATAGTGAAACAGCCTTCATTAGTTGCTACATTCTAATAGAACTTCATTGTTTCTTGGAAGCTCAACTTACCTGCTATTGCAGATGTGACAATTTCAAAGAAAAGATAGGTACACTTATTATAAATGACTGGAGTGTTACATGTAGGTTAGCAGAAACCTTGGTTGGTAACAGTTACACATATCTATATGTGTAACATATATATTGGTACAATATTCAAAATGCATTAGTTTTGAAGAAATAAACTTTCAAGAGTTTTTCACACCTTCAGCCTGAATGACAATAACATGTTTCAGAGAAAAGAAACTCTCTGATGTGCAAGATATTAGAACTCTATGCATTTATTTACTAAACAAATTTTTGGGTGCCTAACTCACACAAGGTGACTCCAGGTGACTTACAACATTAAAAACCACAACATGTAACCAACTCCCTCCCTTCTTGGCAGCAGCAACCCAATCAGATCAACCATTGCTTTTATTTTGTGGTTTTATGACTTTATTGTTTTGTTCTTTTAGGGTGAATCTGGCAGACCAGGGCAACCTGGGGAAGTTGGATTTCCAGGATCTCCAGTATGTACAATTAATTATTGTTCTGAACAAACCATACATTTAGAGTTGGAATAAAATCTGTAAAGGATCCTAGACTGCACTTATACAATGTATGTGTGTCATCAAGAGGTGTACATTTTTGAGACAGGAAAAAAATAAATAAAAGGCCTGTATCCTCTTAGCTTAATTTCTTAAACTTATCTGGTTTTTAGAACGTGCAAGAGATTTTATCTTTGGAAACTGTACTGTAGCATAGGAAGGATAGCTGGGGATAGAAGATAAGAATGAAAAAAAAATATTCACCTATATTTCTTGACTAACGGTCTTAAATGTGAAAAACCACATGTTTTTCCATCCATAGCCATAGAGTTTCAGTTGCAAACTGAATGTTAATGCAATGCACTCAGGAAAAGCATCTAAATAGGCAAAGAATTTTCATGTGGATAGTATCGGTATGTGTCATGGTTGCTAAATAATACAGGACTTATACAGGTAGCCTTCGACTTACAACAGTTCATTTGTTCAAAGTTATAATGGCACTGAAAAAAGGGTCTTATGGCCATTTTTCACACTTACGTCCATTGCAGCATCCCTATGGTCATGTGATCAAAATTCAGATGCTTGGCAACTGACACATATTTATGACCATTGCATTGTCCCAGGGCCATGGGATCCTCTTTTGTGACCTTCTCACAAGCAAAGTCAATGGGGAAGCCAAATTCACTTAGCAACCATGTTGTTAACTCAATAATTGTGGCAAGAAAGATCATAAAAGGGGGCAAAACTCACTTAACAAATGTTTCACTTAATAACAGAAATGTTGGGCTCAACCTGTAATTAAATCAGGATGAGCCAGAAGTTTTCTCTGTTTCCTCTATCTTCTGTGAAAAGGATCAATATTTATATTGCTGATTTCTGATCAGCATGAAAAAAAAGAATATCATACTAAGTATTATCATTAAACAAAATTACAGAAAATATATTTGTTAGCAGATCCCAAAAAAAACAAAAACATAAAACATAAGAACAAAAATTTCAGAACAAACCAGTAGAAAAATGGCCACTAGGTATCCCTTTGCCAATTTGGTCAGAAAACTTCTATCATTACTCTTACTGAACAGTCAATGCAAAATTATTATTCTCTTCCATTCAAAGTAAATACCGTATATGATCTGTTATCCCGTGAAATACAACACAGTAGCACTTTTGAAAGAAGCCTATGATATAAAGGTTTTAGGGGAAATTCTGTTTTACGATTGCTGGTTCAAAAATGGATTGCTTTCCAAGAAAACTTAGAAAACTATGCAATAGCAATAGCAATAGCAGTAGACTTATATACCGCTTCATAGGCCTTTCAGGCCTCTCTAAGCGGTTTACAGAGAGTCAGCATATTGCCCCCAACAATCTGGGTCCTCATTTTACCCACCTCGGAAGGATGGAAGGCTGAGTCAACCCTGAGCCGGTGAGATTTGAACCGCTGACCTGCTGATCTAGCAGTAGCCTGCAGTGCTGCATTTAACCACTGCGCCACCTTGGCTCATAATAGACAGGACAAATTCCAAAGCTTTATTGGTTATAAGGATGTATATTTATTTCCTGACCAATCAGGCAAAACCACAGTGGCACATTTTCTCTCATTGTTTTGCATGTGGATTTAAATTTCAGAATTGAATGATAAATGCTTAAAATTGGCCTTAAAAATCACTAAGGATGCCCATAATGTTGTGCAGACAGTTCTACATTGTTGAGTTAGGAGTCTCACATAAATAGCCCCAGGTTGCATATAAGCGGCTTTCCTGCTATATAAAGAATAGGTAGTACCTGTCTCCGTAGTAGTAGTAATTGCAAGAAGGCTCTTGGAATCCTAGTGAACAACCACTTAAAAATATAAGTCAACAGTGTGTTGCAGCTGCCCCCCCAACCTCCCCCCCCCACACACAATGCAGGCTACATTAACAGAAGGATGAAATCAATATCACGTGTCAGTATCACTTTATAATGCCTTGGTAAGATTTGGAATATTGCATCCAGTTTTGGTCACCACAATATAAAAAAAGATGTTGCGACTCTAGAAAGAGTTCAGAGAAGAGCAACAAAATTGATGAGGAGACTGGAGGCTAAAACATATGAAGAACAGTTGTTGGAATTGGGAATGTCTAGTTTAATGAAAAGAAGAACTAGGGGTGACCTGATAGCAATATTCCAATATCTAATCAAAGAATGGAGGGTTATCAACCTATTTTTCAAAGCACCTGAAGGCAAGACAAGAAGCAATGGATGGAAACTAACCAAGGATACTACCAACCTAGAAATAAGGAGAAATTTCCCAACAGTGAGAAAAATTAACCAGTGGAATATCTTGCCTCCAGAAGTTGTGAGTGATCCAACATTGGAGGTTTTAAAGAAAATATTGGAGAACCATTTGTCTGAAATGATATAGGTTTTCCTGCTTGAGCAGAGGGTTGGACTACAAGATCTCCAAGGTCCCTTCCAGGAACAGCTCAACTTATATTACTGCTAAGTATAAAAACTCCAAGACCCTGATAACTCACATTTTTTTTCATGATGTCCTTCACAATTTATTTTATTTATTATTAAAGATAAATTAAAAGGAAAAAATCCTCAAATAACAAAATCCTTTGAAAACTTGGACAAATAAATAAATATTACAAGATGCAAATATTTTTGATGGTAATGACTAATTATTAATCTCAAGCCATTTCAAAGACCTGTAAAAGATAGACTGGGTTTCTGGCAAGTTTTGGAAGTCAGCATATCTGGTGAATGATCTGCCCTGGAGAAAAATGAACAGAAAAGCTAAGACACTTAAAATCAAGCAGTTTGGGTATTGTTCTTAGTTGCTTTCTGATCAGATCACAGGAGAGAAAAGATCCCCACTTACTAAATGGTACTTTCCCCCACACTCTTGAAGAAAATATGTTCAACTCTGTAGGAACAGAAAAGCTTTCACGGGATATTGTAGAACAAGTTCTGCAATTTCACCCCACCCTCTTTTTCGAGATTATCATCTGTTACTTCCTTTGAAGCTTTTCAAAGTTTTTTTTTTAAAATTTAAGCATAAGCAGGGAAATTTGGATATAATTTTGCATCCCGAAGCTAAGATTTTTGTAATGTAGAAAACTCAGGTGTGCATTGTACTAATGCCAGAATGTTAATTTGCGGCTTCTACAAATGCCTGTTTATTTACCTTTTAAAGTTGGTTGCCTCCCTTCTTTATTTTATCTGTGAGCCTCTTTCTTTTTCTCCTTTGCCAAGTACCTCAAAACGTCTCCCATCATTCAATTTTTCTATAATTCTCCAAAGCACCTGAGGGTAGGACAAGAAGCAATGGGTGGAAACTAATCAAGGAGAGAAGCAACTTAGAACTAAGGAGAAATTTCCTGGCAGTTAGAACAATTAATCAATGGAACAACTTGCCTTGAGAAGTTGTGAATCTTCCAACACTGGACGTTTTTAAGAAGATGTTGGATATCCATTTGTCTGAAGTGGTGTAGGGTTTCCTGCCAATGCAAGGGATTGGACTAGA